TTTTATTCCTGGCTTCAGTAGAGGGAGGAGTTTGATGTGCCATTTCCTCTTTTCGAAGTTGGATACTTTTCGGAGTACGAATCTGTGCAGCTGTGAGAGTGCGTTTGCGAGTGCCAATGGAATGAGCAATTTGCCAACAACGCTGCAGAGAAAACTTTGGTAAGTTTACTAAAGTGCATTCAGACACTAGACGTCTGACTCGTCTAGGCGGCATACCCAACGTTATACTCTTTTTGCAATACATGCTCAGCTATGCACAGTACGACTGCAGAATGCTCACACGATAAGGCTGACACGTAACAAAACCTAATGCAGAATACGCACATACAATAGCAAGGCTGATATGCAATAGCAGAGCCGACTGCAAAATATTCACACAATAGCGAAGCGAGCACAATTAACAAACCAATAGCAAGTTGTCAATGATCACACAATAGCAGGCTGACCGTAAAACGTAAGGCTGACACGCAAAGTTTCATAAAGTGTTGGCAAAGCTGACGCAATGCCAGACAGCAAGCTATACAATGTTCCTGCTTCATCCCTAGGCTTAACTCCTGCTCTAAGTCCAGCTCCAGCTCCCGGAGAGGCCCCATATTACAACCCAGGCACAATAAAGCCTGTTATCCTGGGTGTAAAGGGAAGTAAGAAGCAGAACAAACACAGCTGAATGACTTTGAAATATATTTTCCTTCACCAAGAGCGATAGTAAGTATTTACAAGTATGTACACTATATACAGTTGGAAATGGATGTATACAACGCAGTTAATCAAAGGCAAAGACACAGCCTGGAGACAGAAAGGACAACTGTGCTCAACCAGCTATAGAATGGAAATGACAAGAGTGGACAGGTGAGTGGTGACCACGATACCTCCGCAGTTGCCAGACCCACCTTCTCATTGGCTGAATTTAGATACTGATCAGACGATGGGGCCCCATCATCCAACCCTAAGTACTGGTTCGCTGGTTGGGGGAGATAGCCTTTCAATGAGGGTGTGTACATGCGCCGAATGAAGGTTACGTACTCTTTGCATTCCACAGCGTGTGCGTGTGTGTGTATGTGTGTGTGTGTGTGTGTGTGAGTGTACTCACCTAGTTGTACTCACCTAGTTGAGGTTGCGGGGGTCGAGTCCGAGCTCCTGGCCCCGCCTCTTCACTGATCGCTACTAGGTCACTCTCCCTGAACCGTGAGCTTTATCATACCTCTGCTTAAAGCTATGTATGGATCCTGCCTCCACTACATCGCTTCCCAAACTATTCCACTTACTGACTACTCTGTGGCTGAAGAAATACTTCCTAACATCCCTGTGATTCATCTGTGTCTTCAACTTCCAACTGTGTCCCCTTGTTACTGTGTCCAATCTCTGGAACATCCTGTCTTTGTCCACCTTGTCAATTCCTCTCAGTATTTTGTATGTCGTTATCATGTCCCCCCTATCTCTCCTGTCCTCCAGTGTCGTCAGGTTGATTTCCTTTAACCTCTCCTCGTAGGACATACCTCTTAGCTCTGGGACTAGTCTTGTTGCATACCTTTGCACTTTCTCTAGTTTCTTTACGTGCTTGGCTAGGTGTGGGTTCCAAACTGGTGCCGCATACTCCAATATGGGCCTAACGTACACGGTGTACAGGTCCTGAAAGATTCCTTATTAAGATGTCGGAATGCTGTTCTGAGGTTTGCTAGGCGCCCATATGCTGCAGCAGTTATTTGATTGATGTGCGCTTCAGATGTGCCTGGTGTTATACTCACCCCAAGATCTTTTTCCTTGAGTGAGGTTTGTAGTCTCTGGCCCCCCTAGACTGTACTCCGTCTGCGGTCTTCTTTGCCCTTCCCCAATCTTCATGACTTTGCACTTGGTGGGATTGAACTCCAGGAGCCAATTGCTGGACCAGGTCTGCAGCCTGTCCAGATCCCTTTGTAGTTCTGCCTGGTCTTCGATCGAGTGAATTCTTCTCATCAACTTCACGTCATCTGCAAACAGGAACACCTCAGAGTCTATTCCTTCCGTCATGTCGTTCACAAATACCAGAAACAGCACTGGTCCTAGGACTGACCCCTGTGGGACCCCTGCTGGTCACAGGTGCCCACTCTGACACCTCGCCACGTACCATGACTCGCTGCTGTCTTCCCGACAAGTATTCCCTGATCCATTGTAGTGCCTTCCCTGTTATCCCTGCTTGGTCCTCCAGTTTTGCACCAATCTCTTGTGTGGAACTGTGTCAAACGCCTTCTTGCAGTCCAAGAATATGCAATCCACCCACCCCTCTCTCTCTTGTCTTACTGCTGTCACCATGTCGTAGAACTCCAGTAGGTTTGTGACACAGGATTTCCCGTCCCTGAAACCATGTTGGCTGCTGTTGATGAGATCATTCCTTTCTAGGTGTTCCACCACACTTCTGATAATCTTCTCCATGATTTTGCATACTATACATGTCAGTGACACTGGTCTGTAGTTTAATGCTTCATGTCTGTCTCCTTTTTTAAAGATTGGGACTACATTTGCTGTCTTCCATGCCTCAGGCAGTCTCCCTGTCTCGATAGATGTATTGAATATTGTTGTTAGGGGTACACATAGCGCCTCTGCTCCCTCTCTCAATACCCATGGGGAGATGTTATCTGGCCCCATTGCCTTTGAGGTATCTAGCTCGCTCAGAAGCCTCTTCACTTCTTCCTCGGTTGTGTACACTGTGTCCAGCACAGGGTGGTGTGCCCCACCTCTCCGTCTTTCTGGAGCCCCTTCTGTCTCCTCTGTGAACACTTCTTTGAATCTCTTGTTGAGTTCCTCACATACTTCACGGTCATTTCTTGTTGTCTCTCCTCCTTCCTTCCTTAGCCTGATTACCTGGTCCTTGACTGTTGTTTTCCTCCTGATGTGGCTGTACAACAGTTTCGGGTCAGATTTGGCTTTCGCTGCTATGTCATTTTCATATTGTCTTTGGGCCTCCCTTCTTATCTGTGCATATTCGTTTCTGGCTCTACGACTGCTCTCCTTATTCTCCTGGGTCCTTTGCCTTCTATATTTCTTCCATTCCCTAGCACACTTGGTTTTTGCCTCCCTACACCTTTGGGTAAACCATGGCTCATCCTGGCTTTTTCATTATTCCTGTTACCCCTTTGGGGACAAACCTCTCCTCAGCCTCCTTGCATTTTTTTGCTACATATTCCATCATCTCATTAACTGGCTTCCCTGCCAGTTCCCCTGTCCCACTGAACCCTGTTCAGGAAGTTCCTCATTCCTGTGTAGTCCCTTTCTTGTAGTTTGGCTTCATTCGTCCTGGCCTTCCTGCCTTCTCCCTCCACTTGTAGCTCTACTGTGTATTCGAAGCTTAAAACCACATGGTCACTGGCCCCAAGGGGTCTTTCATATGTGATGTCCTCGATATCTGCACTACTCAAGGTGAATACTAAGTCTAGCCTTGCTGGTTCATCCTCTCCTTTCTCTCTCTTGTAAGTGTCCCTTACGTGTTGGTACATGAAGTTTTCCAGTACCACCTCCATCATCTTAGCCCTCCATGTATCTTGGCCCCCATGCGGGTCCAAGTTCTCTCCCAATCGATCTCCTTGTGGTTAAAGTCACCCATGATCAGGAGCTTTGCCCTGCATGCATGAGCTCTTCTGGCCACTCTAGCCAGTGTGTCAACCATCGCTCTATTGCTCTCGTCGTACTTTTGCCTTGGCCTCCTCTGTTCTGTGGTGGGTTATACATTACTGTGGTGTGTGTGTGTGTTTGTGTGTGTGTGTGTGTGTGTGTGTTGTGTGTGTGTTGTGTGTACACAGCAGTCAGGTGTTGTGGTGAAGACACAAAATGGCATTGTTGAAATGTTGTAGTGTGAAAAGGTGCTAGATGGCGCCACCATCTGTGCTTGTGACCGCTTTCCCATATGTCTCTCGGCATTCAAATCGCTGCCCCCTCTGAATTACACAAAAAAAGCCGGTTGGCATCTTGCTAGGTGTTGAGCATCTCTGTTTGTGATTAACACTTAATAATTAAAAAGCAATTACTGGTGATGGTAATGTTACTTCTAATCACTGGTTCTGTTTAGGTTCTAGTTCTAGTCACGGTCTAACTACCTTTCGGTTTTGTAAAAACCACATCCGTTTGATGGACCACTAATGTGTTGAATAGATGGGTGTTTGTGTAACTGATCAGTTAGCTATAGAATTAGGCTATTAGATGAATTCAATCCAAGAACCTGACTTCCTTTCCTCGTAAAAAACTAGGATTCTCTATCTACACAAGACAGTGTGTGTCTCGAGTGTAGATATATATCCGATATATCTACACTCGAATACTACGCACCTTCCACGTGCGTAGTACTCATTAACATACACATAAATGCATATTCAATAATATTGGTAACCTGGACTTACGGTCGTGATGTACAGAGTCTGTAGGTTGGTAATATTTTAGGAATCACCATTTTACACCCGGGTTTGTGAATAAGATATATCGTCTTGTCGGCATGAGTACATGTGTGTGACTCCACATTTGTAATGTGACTAGTGAAGGTTGGTGTTTTTCACTGTACAAGTCTAGAATTGTCACAAAATGAGGTGAAGTCGCCGTGATAATGCCGTGATAAACACGGCATTATGAGGCGAGGTTTGATCGCCTGGCCATACCTACACAGGTCTGGGTGACTGAAGTTCATGGCGTGGGTAGGCTGTGAGCTGGTAGGTGGCACAAGTGGTGCCCACTATTGGAGATGTATAGGCTTAGATAAAGGTAACAGCATATATTAGGCTAATTAATCTTTATCTAACTTAACTTAAGTACTTATATGAGAAACTGAGTAGGAGAGTGTTGAAAGACTACAATTAAATTAATCATGCAATCAAATTTGTAGGAATTGTTCGTTTGGCAGACATGAAAGCAAGCTCCATCGGCCCTTTACCAATCCGCTCTTATAGCGTCTTTACGCCCCTTAACAGTAGCAGTAGATGCTGTATACAGTTTTTACTTTCATGGTTATATGTATGTAAAGATGTTGATGACGTTGTCAGGTCCCCTGGTACTACCGTTGCTGGGTAATGTGGTGTCCATCCTGCTCTACACTCCCCAGGTAGCCATACAGAAAATGGCGGACAAGTACGGTGGCATATTCAGCTTCAAGACTTTTGGAAAATGGTAGGTTAATGCACCACACTGCAATGTTTTTTAAATAATTAATAAAATAACTAAAAATAGATGTTGTTGAAATAATATAATAATAATAATAATAATAAATAATAATAATAATAAATAATAATAATAATAATAATAATAATAATATTATTATTATTATTATTATTATTATTATTATTATTATTATTATTATTATTATTATTATTATTATTATTATTATTATTTTTATTGTTATTATTATTAATTAATTAATTAATTAATAATAACAGTAAAAAAGGGTCATTAATTAAAAAAAATAAGGAAAAGCCTTATTAACAATTCTTTTGGTCTATTTGTCTATTATGTCATGGTATGTTTATTCTCATCAGTTTGTCAACAATACTGGACCACACTGTGCCTGTGAGTCATCACAACTGTTCTATAAATGTTTAATACTGACTAAAATCATTAAGAGATTTCCTGAATATATCGCAGTTTCATTTTTTGAAGCCCTGTTTTAATAATGTTGGTGGCGGCGTGCTTGACGTACTCTGTATGAGTACTGATAATGTTGGTGGCGGCGTGCTTGACGTACTCTGTATGAGTACTGATAATGTTGGTGGCGGCGTGCTTGACGTACTCTGTATGAGTACTGATGGCAGCTTGTCTAAAATACACTGAATGAGCTGTATTTACGGCGTGCTTGAATACGAGTATTGCTTAACATACTGTACACGAGTGCTGCTCCTAGATTGCTTGAAATAATCTAAAATAAGTGCTACTGGCGGCCTACTTGAAATATTTCTTAGTAACTTTGATATTTTGTGCTTGTGACAAACTAGACCACAACATGGAGCCCTGACCCCCAACTGTTCTGTTTTTTCAACTTTGTTATGATTATATTTGCCTTCCCAGGACGGTGGTACTAACTGATCTGAAACTTATGAGGACAGCGATGGCAGACTTGACGTTTTCCGACCGTATTGATCTTCTTCTGTTTAATGAGAGAGACAAGATCATCATGGGAAAAGAATCTGATCCTCTCGGTGAGTATCCATCAAGGAAAGTGCTTTGATGTTAATGAAGGATTCTTGATTTAAGGAATTGAATCTATTCACTTCATACGTGAGTTAAACCTGATTACATCCTATTCACCAGACATAGTATTAAGTTTTTCAGTGTGGTGCTTCTTGTTAAAAGAAAGTTAAGTAAATGTATTTCGGTCGCTGCCTGACTCGAGAAAAGTATCGAAGTGTTCCATAACCTCAGAAGAGGTATTAACAACTCATCATTTGGTAATTAGCATCCAAATTTTTCCAATAAAAATGGTAAATTGGGACAGACCAAATCTAATTCAGATCTTTCAACAGAGGATCCGGTTTCTTGTTATTTCACAGAACTCGATGAAACTTGCAACTTTGTATTCTAAATTGATGAAACGTTTCATTTGTTTCGTACGATGCATCGGCAGTGAAGACTGATACCACTCACTATTGTTATAGTTTAATCAGAGGAAAGCGCTATACCAGTGGGAGTCATATAACGCAGTTACTCTCTAACTGCCTCTTTATGGACAGATATCTTCTAGGAGGGGCCAGGCAGAGGTTTAGCAGCCGGTAACTCGACACCGCCACCAACCTTGAAAAGCTGCACCCAGTTCCTCCCTGAACGCTCACACACACATTCTCCACTATTTCTTTCGTCTGGTGTCCAGCTTTGTGAAGTCCTACGATTTGAGCTATAGTTTCAGGTGTTAAAGACTTCCTTTTACACATAACCAAACATGTATAGCCCCAAAACCAAAGGGAACACTAGACAAAAGATGGGAAGAATGAGAGACAAAAGTGCAACACTTCCTCTCACCACAGCAGCCACGTGAGGAATGAGAAGTCACTGCGAAGTGTGGCGGCACGCCGTGACGTCATGCTAACGGCTGCTACCCAGCAGAAAGCACTGACGAATAAAGACCCACCTGTATGGTAGGCCTTTGATTCTCATCATAGCATTATGCTGGGCGCCACACCCGTGTGTGTGTGTGTGTGTGTGTGTGTGTGTGTACTCACCTAATTGTACTCTCCTAATTGTGGTTGCAGGGGTCGAGACTCAGCTCCTGGCCCCGCCTCTTCACTGATCACTACTAGGTCCTCTCTCTCTCTCTCTCTCTCTCTCTCTCTGCTTCCAGAGCTTTGTCATACCTCGTCTTAAAGCTATGTATGGCTCCTGCCTCCATTGCATCACTTGTTAGGCTATTCCACTTCCTGACGACTATGTGACTGAAGAAATGCTTCCTAACATCCCTCTGACTCGTCTGAGTCTTCAGCTTCAAATTGTGACCCCTTGTTTTTGTGTCCTCTCTCTGGAACAACTTGTCTCTGTCTACCGTATCTATTCCACGCATTATTTTGTATGTCGTTATCATGTCTCCCCTGACCCTCCTATCCCCCAATGTCGTCAGTCTGATTTCCCTCAACTTTTCGTCGTAGGACATACGTTTGAGCTCCGGAACTAGCCTTGTTGCAAACCTTTGCACTTTCTCTAATTTCTTGACGTGCTTGACCAGGTGTGGGTTCCAAACTGGTGCTGCATACTCCAGTATGAACCTGATGTACACAGTGTACAGTGTCTTGAACGATTCCTTACTAAGGTATCGGAACGCTATTCTCAGGTTTGCCAGGCGTCCGTATGCTGCAGCAGTTATTTGGTTGATGTGTGCCCCCGGTGACATGCTCGGTGTTATGGTCACCCCAAGATTTTTCTCCTTGAGCGAGGTTTGCAGTCCTTGACCACCTAGTCTATACTCTGTCTGTGGTCTTCTTTGCCCTTCTCCGATCTTCATGACTTTGCATTTCGCAGGGTTGAATTCAAGAAGCCAGTTGCTCTACCACGTGTCCAGCCTGTCCAGATCTCTTTGAAGTCCTGCTTGGTCCTCATCTGATTTAATTCTCCTCATTAACTTCACATCATCTGCGAACAGGGACACCTCTGAGTCTATCCCTTCCATCATGTTATTCCCATGTACCAGAAACAGCACTGGTCCTAGGACCGACCCCTGTGGGACCCCACTCATCACAGGTGCCCACTGTGATACCTCATCCCGTACCTTGACTCGTTGTTGCCTCCCTGTCAGGTATTCTCTGATCCATTGCAGTGCCCTTCCTGTTATACGTGCCTGATCCTACAGCTTCTGCACTTATCTCTTGTAAGGAACTGTGTCGAAGGCCTTCCTGCAGTCCAGGAAAATGCAACCAACCCACCCCTCTCTCTCGTGTCTTACTTCTGTTATTTTGACATAAAACTCCAGAAGGTTTATGACACAGAATTTGCCTTCCATGAATCAGTGTTGGTTGTCGTTTATAATCTTGTTCCGTTCCAGGTGCTCCACCACTCTCCTCCTGATAATCTTCTCCATAACTTTGCATACTATACATGTCAGTGACACTGGTCGGGAAATTTTTTTAGTGCCTCTTTTCTGTCTTCTTTTTAAAAATGGGAACTACATTTGCAGTCTTCCATACCTCAGGTAGTTGCCCAGTTTCAAGGATGTTTTTGAAGACTGTGGTTAATGGAACACACAGTATATCTGCTCCCTCCCTGAGGACCCATGGGAGATGTTTTTTCGGACCCATTGCCTTTTGAGGTATAAGGTTGACTTAGCTGCTTCTTCCCCTTCTCCTCAGTTGTATGCTATTGTCCAGTACTTGTTGGTCTTTTCCTGTTGGTTTCACCCTCTGTCCTGTCTTCCCAGAGCCCTTTCCCGGTCTCCTCTGTGAATGCTTCCTTAAATCTCATGTTGAGCTCCTCGCATACCTCTTGATCGTTTCTTGTAAGTTCCCCCCCTTCTTTCCCCAGCCTGATCACCTGGTCTTTGACTGTCGTCTTTCTCCTAATAAGGCTAAACAGCAGTTTCTGTCAGACTTGGCTTTCGATGCTTTGTCATTTTTGTACTGTTGCTGGGCCTCCCTCCTTATCTGTGCATATTCGTTTCTGGCACTTCGGCTGATCTTGTTTTCTTGGGTCCTTTGCCTTCTTATACCTTTTCCATTCTCTAAAAGCACTTAGCTTTTGCCTCCCTGCACCTTCGGGTAAACCAAGGACTCGCTTTGGTCTTCCCATTGTTTCTGTTGCCCTTGGGAACAAACTTTTCCTCTGCCTCTTTGCGTTTTGTTGTTACATATTCCATCATTTCATTCACTGTCTTTTTCCCACCATTTCTCTGTCCCAAATGCACCTCCCGCAGGAACTTCCTCATACCTGTGTAGTCCCCCCCCCCTTTTTAGTTTGGCTTTTCCCATTCAACTCCTGTTACCCTCTCCACCTGTATCTCTACTATGTAATCAAAACTCAGGACTACGTGGTCACTAGCTCCCCAGGGGCCTCTCATATGTGATGTCATCAATCTCTGAGCCACTCAGGGTGAACACAAGGTCCAGTCTTGCTGGTTTCATCCTCCCCTCTCTCTCTGGTAGTGTCCCTGATGTTTGATGCATGAGGCTTTCCAGTACCACATCCATCATCATGGCCTCCCCTGTTTTGGGACCCCCCATGAGGCTCCAGATTTCCCAATCGGACTTCCTGTGGTTGAAATCACCCATAACCAGTAAGTTTGCTGTGCACGATTGAGCTCTTCGTGCCCCCTCACCAGTGTGTCCACCATCCGCCTCTGTTGTTCTCATCATAGTTCCTCTCTTGGCCTCCTGCAGTTTCTGTGGTGGGTTATACATCACAGCAATGACTACCTATGTTCCCCAGATTGAATTGTGCCTGCTATGTATCCCTTCGCCTCCAATCACGTCCATGCCCTCCATTTCCTCGAAGTCCATTGGTTTTTTTTTATGAGCATTAGCAACCCCATCCTCTCCCCTGCTGAGCCGGTGGATGACTGCGTCTTTATTGTCTCAGTGAGTTTTCGTTTCTGTGACTGCTATGATGTCCAGCGACTTCTCCGGTGATTTCTTTCGTGCCACACCTCGCGTATTTTATTTGCTATCCATGCAGCGTTTGTGTACCACACCTTCAGCTTGTTGTCTATCTCACGGTGGACCAGGGAGAATATGAGGGTTGGGGGAGCGTAGGCCCGGGCTAATGGGGTTTGTGGTGTGGGCGGAATTCGTGATGGGAGGGGTGGAGAGGAAGAGTGCCCGTAGAGAGCTCTGTGGCAGTATGGTTTGTGATGTGGGGGGATGGGGCAGAGGGAACAGTGGTTGGGGTTTTTGGTTGAGATTGTTCAGCCTGCTTTGGGTGCCACAGTGTGTGTGGGTTTGTGGTGGGGGTGGGGGCAGAGTGCTAAACGGGGCTGCTGTAGAGGTAGGGTTTGTGTTACCCCAAACCCCTGCAACAGGCACCGCTTGAAAGTTAGTTTCATCGAATCCTTGCCACATCCAATGGGCAACGAAAGAGATTTGAATGCTTAACATTCGCAAACAGGTAAAATTATTTTACAAACATTTGTCTCTACGTGGTCCCACAGCATGACTCGAACCTGCTAACTCTGCAATCAGAGTCCACATACTTTAACCACGGAGCAACACCCAAGATAAGTATGGGTCTGCAGGGATGTAGAGACAATAGTTTGAACTAAATTACGCCTGTTAGCGAATTATTAAGCCTTTCAAATCTCTTTCATTGTCCTACTACATGTGCCAGATTCGATGGAAATAAGTTTTATTTCAAAACAGCTTGTGCCCAGGGTATAGTGCCGGGTATGGGGTAACATCGCTTAGCTTCACTGAAGCGCCCATACTAATCTCAGGTCTAGCTCCATGGTAAATACTGTGGACTCTGATACAGAGGTTAGCAGATTCGGTCCTGCTGTGGACGTAGAGACAATTTTGTAAATAATTTCGCCTGTTTGCGAATTGTTAAGTATACATATATAATATATATATATATATATAATATATATATATAATATATATATATAACTATATAGATAAAAATATATAATGTTACGCAGCAAAGGTGGGAAGCTGGGGGCTAGAGCCTTGACTAAGGGCAAGGTAAAAGTTACACACATCTCAAGCAAAAACAGGCCACCCAGGGCTATCCC